CACGAAATAGATTTTATTATAGAATGAGCCAGAACAAACCATGTCTCTGATCCTTGAGTACGATTTGGTGAGCTTTTTCCCGCTGACTTTCACCGTCACCTGAGCACAATTCGCCTTTCACCAGAAAAAAAAAGATATTTTAGAATTGGAACGATCCCAGGCTGAAATGGAACTCCTCAGAGTTCTACGACATCAACGGGTTTTTTGTGAATCGTGACGCTGTATGGCGTCCAGACGTTGTGCCTTTTGATGTGTAGGTCACCTATGCTTGAGAACAGCACTAGCAGTTTGGCGTGACCTTCCTTGCCTGCAAAGGGTCACTGTGGAACGGCTTAATAAGGGGTCAAGTGAGGCGTTGTGGAAAAATTTCAGTTACGACGGACTTCTAATAACTATAGATCCTATACAAGCCCTGTTTATTGGGTTGTCCAGAAAATCCTGTGACACTTTGTACAAATAACTTCAGGGAAAAATCAAAACCCTTTCAGTTGTTTTGGCATTTGATTACTGTGTGTCTTCGAAGGTTCCAGCAGAAGCGTACATGAAGGCTTAAGGCAGCGTTTTGTTTTACGCTCCAAACTTCTCATTGAACCGAGCCATCGTTTGACATTGACATTTTGACGTTTTATTTCTCAAGTTGCTATAAAGCCACTCTGCTTCTGTCGTTGCAGCTGCATCTGTGCTGCGAGGTGACTTGTTCAGCAGACCATCGTGTCCCAATGTCCCTAAGGCTTCGCATACGGAGATATTTGACTCAAAGTAAAGCACTGCTCTAGTCGGCTGTAGGTGGTGAATGGTGAGCATTTGCTCAACTTCCCAGAGGCGCAGCCGATTGCTACCAGTCGTGAGTTAGCAACAACGCTGAGGTGCATTAATTGACAGTCATCGGGATTCCCACGTTCATAGCAACTGCTTAGTCGACGGGGTTATCGCTTCCAATTACTGGGTAATTAGTGCCCTGAAGCGTCATCTAGAAGATAAAAAATCCGATGACTGAGGTCAACTCGAAAATGGGATCGATCGCTTCTTTTCAAAGCAAACGCCGGAATCCTAAAGTAAGAGAGTTGAGAAGCTGCCCGGGAAAAGTGTACGTCTCCTATATGGTAATGGTGATAATCTTGCTGGTTGAATATTTCATTCAACAAAAAAAGGTGCAATCAAAAATCTTGGACAAGTGTCGCAGGATTTTCTGGACAGTCCAATAGAAAGACAGCTCATGAAGAACTATGAGTGCCATTGTTGCGCGTACATTGACTTCACCAGGAAAGCTTTTGAGGATGTAGGTTAAAGCAACAGTCCAGGCAGGGTTTCAACTACTTGGTCATTAGGCGGTCAAAACATGCCCCAGCCCAACTAAAGTTTATAGGAAATGTCTTTAATTTCAAAACCTACCTCTAAAATGCGCTGGAAGGGGTCGAAGTCCTCTTGGAGGGGGCGGATCACCCATACCGAGGCGGATCGCCCAACATACGCTGTGCAGAGCGCGTGCTCGACTAGCGGTCGTTGCGGGACCGCCGCGCTGTATGAGGTCGATTCCATAAGAACGCAATTGAAGCGCTTCAATTTCGATTGCTGGCAAATAGTTATGTATTTGCAAGCATGCATGGCTATTTGCCAGCAGTTGCAATTGGAGCGCATGTACTACGGGCAGGTTCGGACAACTCGTCCAACACACGTCTCCCTAAACGGCAGGGGGAGTCCCTGTCTAAGCCCCTGCCCGACGTTTTTTTCTACTTTTTCTTTCTCCATTGACCAACTTCTCACCTGCAACGTCATTATAGGTGGTCCTTACCCGCGAATTCGTTCCTGGATTGTTGCTTTAAAGCGCGTTTTTTATGATCAAAAGGGCGCGTATAACTTCGGTTTAACATTGAAGGGACTCAGTACATTTCAAGTGCCTCCTGTGCCAACAAATATGTGGAAACAACAGTTTGGGGTCCATCTTAACTTGAAGGCATTTTTCGCAATTTCTGATCATCACTTTCTCCCGACATTAGTCGTACTTGTCCAGGGGCGCACCGTGTGCTCTACTTCCAGTAACTCAACACCAATCTTTTGACTGTTAATCTCTCCGTTCATCAACCTCCCACTAGACCAAATATGACCCCACTCGTCGAGATTTTCCAAGCACGTGCTTGTGAGGAAATACTCGCAAGTCGATGGGGTCTAAGAGTCAGCTTTCCCTTATAATTTTATTTCTTGTTTGGTACATACTCCTCTGCATTTCAGCCAGTCCATTTCGGACACAAGGGAATACAAATATTCAGCACGTTTATGTGAGTGTTTTTCATTATTCAGAATTCTAACTTCGCTTGTCTTCTCGAAGGAGTAAAGCGTAATCAGAACAAAATCTGGAAGCGCTACATGTGATATCTTCTTTCTTGATACCAGAGCTTGACGGTTAGAATGCACCGCTTTGAAATCAATGTATTGTGAAACACAGTTTCAAAGTTATCATCCCCCAAAGTGGTCTTCTACCGAGTTTACGAGCACAGGGGATGGACGGTAAGTCAGTCGACGTATCGCCCTGAATGTCTTTACGCAGCACCTTGTCTTTGGTAAGGCAGCCTCCACTTTCCATCACCCTACTTTGCTCGGAAGAGTGGAGCAGCAAAGTATAAAATTTCACAAAAAACCGAAATCTGTTAGTGATTCTTCCTCATTTCTCTTGGTTCAGGTGAAGAGCAACGGAGATATGCACTACTATGTTTCGCTTGTGGTGGCGCTCCTATGCCCTCTGAAGGTGAGTCTAGTGCTGTAGGAAGGATTCAACCCTTTGACTACCACTCTACTATACGGTTAGCTTTGGAGCCATCCTCTACTGTACTAATAAAAAACGAAAGGCCTCTGTGTTGATAAACATCTCATCTAACAACATAAAACTGGAAAGTATTACTTGTTCAAGTGACGTCTGGTCAAAAATGTTGCGCCGAATGGGAATGCCCTTCTTAGAAAACAAAACTTCTATTGAAATGCCGTCATGGTGAAGACTTTTCTGGCCTTCTCACCTACAATAGTATCATTTCCTCTTCTACGTCATCCTATCCATCAATCGTTTAATCTCTAATCTCCGGACTCGAATTCTTCAAACAAATGCATCGCCAAATATGCATCACCTCACTCACCGTTCCATGTGGCTCCCTTGGTTCTGCTCATAGGTCCATCTGGATCACAAAGTGTAGTTTTCAAAGACGTTTCCCTTTTCGTGAGCTGAAATTCCGTGCATGGGCTTGATACACTGCCTAAAATCATCGCAAATCAAACCATTGTGTGCGGGGAAGGGAAGAGTATCTCGTCGTAGACGATTCTTATAAGCGTACCATGTGTTTCGCAGACTGCATGGGGAGGAGAGATAGCTTCAAAGTTTCAAAGCCCCTTCAAAGTCTGCTGAATCAATCTAAAACAGCACAAAAATCGATCAGTGCTGTGTTTCACAAAAAACAACATACGTGAGTAAAGTGAGAAGAAAAAAAAAAAAAAAAAAAACTTGGACAAAAATTGGTGAGAGGATAGATGGCAATTGGACGCGCCATTACAGAGTTACTCTCTGCAGACTTTGTGGTCCTGAAGGGACACAGAACACACTTCGCTGTTAGTACGTTGTCATACTTTTGCGCCGTTGAAACGGTTGCGGACAGGTGGATCGGAAGTGAGACCTCTCACCGCAAAGGCACGACGTGCGACGATGTACGCTTACACTGTAGGCCACTCAGGTTAGATTCCCGACTCGGACTAAATTCAATGTCAATGCTTATCCTGTTGGTGATTTTTGGAGTGTTTATTGCTGCTTACGGAGTTTTTTGCGTGGGGTAATGTTTCGTAAGTTTTTTTTGGCCTTTGAATTTTGATATGTTTTGATTTGCAATATCTTTTCAATTCTCCCCAACCGAGTAGTGTTATGCTCCTATTGGCCATGTTGAACAGGCGGCACTCGCTGGTGAGATCCATCAGGCGCAAATACAACATCTGTATAAAAAAGGTAACGTTCCGAGCAATAAATAAATAAATAAATAAACACGGAGGAAAGCAAGGCGACACATAAAACACAAAAATTAGAAAGAATGCATCAAATTTGAGATTATCGATTGGAAGCTACCGATTGCTCATCAAGTACGGACAATGCTTGCGGTGCACGTGTTGACGCGTCTCGCGCGCTGTGGCACCGTCTACCAGTGTCCGTTACGCCGCGCCCGTGGCGCAAATATTAAAGCCCAGCATTACTGCCTGCTCACGCAAAGATTTTGGACGAACAGTCCTACGCGGAACAGACATTGCAAATACCCTATTTCCGCGTGTATCAAGCCCGCCTTTAGAATTCACGTAACACCTCCACTGGTGCAGTGTACTTGAGTACATCTAGAGTCAACCGTAACATGCCCATAGGGGTAATTCGATATGCTGATCACGAAAACGACATTCGTTTTTAGCGGTGGCGGCATCTGGCGCCAGTTGGCGCCACCTTGTCACGACCCTTGTTTTCGCCAAAATCGGTGTAAACTTCAGTATAGGGGTTATTTGGGACCCTGATTACGAATATGACATTCGTTTTTGGCGTTAACGTTGTTTAGTGCAATGTCTTCGGTCTTTTCGGCTGTGGAGAGCCATGAGACGAGATGAATTTATACGTCGATCAAACAGCCGCCAGCGCTATAATAAATGTCCATTTAATTCAGCTAACATCTAGCGACACCAAATAATGGCGCATATGCGGAGCGTTTACACGGAGAGACTCTCTCGGTCAAGAACGGGTGTCCTGCTCGCAGAGCAATGTAGACCGCATAGCTGGGCCAGATATGGGCGTCAGCGCCTAGAATAAAAATGAAAAAGTATTTTCGTTGATCTAAGTTTCGCTTACGATTACCACGGCCTATTATGGTTAATTCTGATTAGCGGTGACAGGTTTCTCATGATAGAAGAATTACAAAAATGGGGCACTGGCACGAACTGCGGTGAGGTGGTTAGGATATACGTGAAACCGGCGTCAGGACTTTACTATCACCCGAAAGTTAGGGTATTGTCTTGTGCTTAATGCTACAGTGTATAAAAATGTATAATAGTAGTAATGGTTATGGAGGTGTAAACGTGTAAATATAATATATGATATTAGGATTACCAGCATTAGTCCCCCGTCATTTACCGCGCGGGGGAACACTATATACCTTTACACGTAGCACAAGCTTCTATTCCTCCGCTTATGGCCCTGCCTGTCCTCAGTGTTCATCAACACACCTCTGTGAAAGTTGTCGCGTATGCGAATTTGCATGGGTGTTGTCGCCAACAGCGTAGAAGGCGCACACAATTCAGTGATATGACAGAGCGTAGATTTTCTCGCATTCCGCTTCCCTCCTCATCCTCCCTTCCTCTCTCCACTGCCCTCCAGCTGCCACTGCAGCACCATGTGGAATGAACGGAAGTGTGCTAAGCAGGTGTTTATATAGCCCTGAGAGTGTTATCACAACTATCCTGCTACAAAACATTGATATCTCAAATCCTGTAAGCTACCCGATTTGTTAGCGGTTTGTTTATCCCATGAGCTTCCTTCTCACTCACTTCATTTTGCGGACGGACACACATACATACACACACATACAGATACACAAACCGACACACAAAGTTAGCGCTTTATAAAATAGAAGGATATACATGTTTCAATTAATTACTTTATTATATGTGTAACATATTATACTCTATGTATAAACAAAAGACAACTATTATTAATTCCTAGTCAGGCAAGATGTTTTGGCTTATTACTATAAAGCGCTTCGTCTGTCGTTCTGTATGTCTGTCACGAAATTCCCTAGCTCCTCGGGATCCGCCTGGAGGGACCGGGTCAAGTGTGGGATGGGTGGGCAAGGTCTCACGTAATACAAAACACACATCAGCTAAGCGGAGCCCCGCCCACAGAGGGCGTGGCGTGCGTGCGTCGACATGAGAAGTGTACTGATGACCGATATTCATTTATTATTCTCTTAGAAAACGACCTTGAAAACTGGGCCAAAAAGTTAGGAAAAGTGTGCACCAGTAAGTCACATCGAATTAGGGAGACCCACCCCCTGTCGGGGGCGGAGTTTGCGACGAAAATTCATAACTCGGCTCCAAGAAGTCCAGGAGGCTGGGAAAAAGGGAGTAGAGGTCGGCGAAGGAAAGGAGGTCAAATGCTATTAGTGGGTAGAGCACGCACCTAAGTGGGCGGAGTTTGCCAAAAGTGTCGTAATTTGGTTCCAAGAGGTCCCAGAGACCGGGGAAAAAAGGGGTAGAGGTCGGCGAAAGGAAGGGGGCCAAATGCTATTGGTGGGCGGGGCACGCACCGAAGTAGGCGGAGTTTGCCACGAGATTTATTGTCCGGAAGCAGTCCGGAGACCGGGAAAAAGAGGATAATGGTTGAAGAAAAAGAGGTTGAAAGCCGTCGATGATGGAGCGGATAGAATTTAGCTGAGAATTCAGATATTCGTGGTGTATCAAGCCAAATTTGAAAATTTTCGTCGCACCATCAAAATTCGCCGCAGATCTGTGTTGTGCGCGCAATGCGTGCGGCGCCAACTGGTATAATATATTGGGTTGACCCATAATTTCTGGCCGAATTTCAACACTTTGATTTCTTCAAGTTTTATCTTTCCTTGAACAATTGATCAAAAAATAACCACCATCATAATCACTGATATGCATCCATTTGCTAGGGAACGAATGGATGCATTCCTCCCAGAACGAAGAAGCTGTGGATGAAAAGTTCGGAGAGGTCGTTTTTGGGGTGGTTGTATTTACTGACTTTTTCTCTCCTAGCTGCTGCTTCAGGGAGCTGAGGAGGTGATAGTACGATGGAGCAATGTCAGGGCTATACGACAGATGTGGTGTCGTGGTCCAGCCAGTTTCCTTCGAAACGTGGCGAGTTATCTTTGCAATGTGATTTCGGGCGGTCCTTCGGAGAAAGGAGATTTTGAGACGTTTCGAACCGTTCTCCCGCACTGCTGCGGCCAACTTGGAAGCTATTCCATGGTTACCTTCGCAATGCTTGTCTGCATAAAGTGAAATGGTTCTCAAAACAGGATACCCAGCGAATCCAACAAACCGGGGGTAATATCCTCTGATGAAAGAGCTCATGCTTTGGTGAGATGGTGAGTCCAGGCTGCGAGGTAGCCACAAGGCGTGCTGTGTGTTGTTATCGTGGTGGACTCATGACTCATCTGCACTGGTGACCAACTAGGGAATGTCGTGTCTATATGGTCGCAGAATGAAACTTCTGCAGATGGTCAGGCGTGCTTCTCGGTCATGGTCAGTCGATGCATGCTGTTTCCATCGAGCTTCATTCTGCTACAGCCCCTTCCATTCAGGTGTCGACTCATGGAGCGTAGGCTGCGTCCAGATGTTTGCTACAGTTTCCTGCTAATAGCGTCGGATGCACTTCCTATTCGTTGCGCAAGGGGTCCTCATCAAAGTGACTGGAGGTCCATGATGAGGTCGAACTTTGCAGCTCCTATCTTATTTGCCGATGCTATTGAGCCAATAGCTCAGTGCCGATCAGTAGCAAAGACTGGGGCAAACGTAGCGCTGATCTTGCCTACCGCGCTCCTTGCAAGGTTCTTCTTAAATTGTCGTAAGGCATAATCGTTGGGTTTGGTCGTTGATCTATTTTGATTCCTACTTAATTATCCCGTTGCGCATTTGAGCTTCTGAAACATCCTGGCTGAAGGTCCTGATGTGTTCTTCAACATATCAACTTATTTCGATATGAAGCTAATTTGACATGAAGAAAATTGAATTTGAACCAAAATCGGCCAGAAATTATGGGTCAACCCAATATATAAATAATATAATAAAAATGTAATAAATATAAAGAAATATCTATGTGTGTAAAAGTATCCTTCCAATAGAGTTCTCCGTAAAGATCGTATTGTGTGTTTCTGTCGATCTGTCTGTCAGTGTGTCCTTCGATGAAATGTCCATCCAAGCTCTATCGGAGGATGTTTAACACAGCTAGAATTAGCCAACCGCTAACAAATCCTGCCATCGCATTGACCTTGCGATGGCAGTGCTTCGCGATGTTGTGCTTGAAATACGCCATTTAACCGCCAAATGCCCAGTAAGTACAATTTCAATCGGCAAAATGCTTCATTCCGTATAGGCACAGGCAGAAATAATCGTCGACGGCTCTTGAAGACGGTGGTGCTTAAAAATTTCAATATAATACGATTCTGAGATTATCACTGGCTACCCTACTATTTAATCATACATATGCATTCACTCCAAGTGGTATTCGTATAAGAAAATATAAATGAGTACAACGGAAGGTATGTGGCATACAAAAGAAGAGTACGGTGCATCTTACTGGGAGACCATGATAGTAGAAACAATAATAGAGCGGAAGCTTCTCGCAGCAGCGCACTTCAATTTTTTTATAATCCTTTCGTGTCAATAAAATATGTTTCAGATACAAAGATTTCCATTTGACCATCAAGTTTGCGAAGTGGGCTTTTCGTCGTACACTTTTTGGATAGCTGAAGTCCGCCTTGTGTCTGCAGTGAAACCGTACATCAACACCTCAACAGCGGTGATACATTTTTTGAATTGCAATTTGCAATAGCTATATACGGTGGTGAATGTACTCGTGGAAACGTTTTTTGTGCATTACGTTTTTTTCCTTGTCAAAGCCTCATGAATTAGCTGTAACTTTTGCGAAACACCTAAACGTAAACTGATTTTTTTCTTTAAAAAGGTTCAACTAATGAATGAGGCTATCTATGACATAGTGCCAGCAAGGAGATATTGTTAATAACAGAAATTGAATAGTTTCAGGGTACCGGTGAGTGGACTGTGATCGAAGTGATCACAGGCATCCCAGAACAATTGGTCGAAGGCACATCAGCAACCTATGAAACGGTCAGATCCTTGAATATGCCGCTATCATGGTTCCCATTCAGAGTGTAAAGTCATTCTCGTCTCACAGCCAGGGTTGCCTAACACTAACTTGTCTTCATGTGAGCGTGTACCGCACTAGATAGTCCTATCCACATAATAGAAGGGGCGACTTCTTGCATCAAAGGCAGCGATTATGATCGATGCTGGATCGGCTCGGAGTGGAACAGGGGTGCTAGACGGTACGCCAGTGGCAGAAAAAGGCAGAGAAATCCGTAAGACACGCAATTGTAGTAGCTAGAGTTTTGGATCATATCGTATGAGTCGTAAAGTAGCTGATAGAACGAATCATGTGTGGAAAATCCTATTTTTAATGTCAACTGTTCAAGGCCCAAAATTCTAACTCTAAAATTATATCAGCAGATATCGTGTTTATACGGTTTATAGGCAACGCAGATATGTAAGTTAGAAGATACGGTTACTTAAATCGAAAGGCTTTTCCAGAATTAGAGCGAACGATGCTGCGACAAACTGGTGGCCGGAGCGGTTTTGGGCTTAAGGTATTTGGTTTGAAGCCTTGCTGCTCTGCAACTAGCTCACTGTTCGCCGCAGAACGCCATACCTCGCTTAATCACACTTGGCTGCTGCTTCCAGCTTGTTACTTTCCCATTGCGCATCGTCTCTACCGACAGACTGCCTGGGACTATGCCTACGAAACAATCCATATGTGTTTTCCGCTCAGAAATAGGATTGAACTAGCTCAGAGTACCTCAGTTACGAGATGCAAAACATTGCAGGTATCCTACATCATTCGCGTCAAACGAAGTTCAACATTCTATATTGTCATGATAGTTCTACCATCTTTCATCCTTACTTTTCTTTGTGTACTTGGGCTTTTCTGGACGAAATTCGACAAAACGGACTACCTCGAAAAGGTTAGTTTCGTAGATTGTCTACAAGGCAATAACCCTGAGGTTGCCTAGTGCTTCACATGATTATTCTTCAACAAGTGCGCAGTTTCAGCTTGCTCTTGGATTTGCTGCCATTCTTGCCATGTGCACGGTCTTGGA